GCGCTACACCAAGTCTTCGTCTTCTATCGTTAGAGATAAGCGGAAGTTAGCCCATATGCATCAGAAGGAATAACGCTCAAATCAGCTCAGACTCATTTAGATCCAGGTGTCATAATAAGCCATGACTCAAGAAATGCGGTACACTGTTGCACAGTGACAGCTCGGAGTTTTAAATATTTATGGGCAACAGTCAGAGTATTTACTACAGTCGCCGGAGATCTGGTCACTCCTTTATATTACATCTCTGGTGAGATCAAGTCTGCATCCACGTAGTAAGTCGTTATTTTAAGCGGAACCTGTGCAGTCAAGAAAGGGTTAGAAGAAAAGCAACACGTGTGATGCTTGACATGACTAATTTATGATACAATGAAAGACGTTAATAGTAAAGAATAGACACCAAATTCAGATGAACTCGAAACAGCCAATCAGATTCTTCAAGGTGAAAAATGATAATTAATCTATAAAAAAAGTATAGTTATGATGTTGATGTAATAATAAATGAATCACACAAGGTATATATCTCGTATATGTAGCAAAAACTGGCCTCAGATTCTCAAAGAAGCGGTTGTATACATATCAAGCCGATGTATGCTCTATTTCATGGAGGATTTCATCATGAGCTGACATCAGTTAGAGAACCACTGGAAAACCTGGGAGTACTGGACAGCTGTTTCGTCCTAGTTAGGGACTCTTCAGCAGTACGCACCCACCGGGATTCGAACCCAGGACCTTCTGGTTACAAGGTGAGCTCGTAGACCATTGAGCCACTAGGACCCGATCCAATGGTCCTTGAATTCTAACTTCTGCCAATTCACGACATAGCGCAACCACTTCGCAATGTCTTCTTCGATGAGTTACTGCCTCATCTTCAACCTGCTGTACCCTACTGGTCACGGCTTCCCACCAGAACCCCAGGTTAACTGCCTGAATAGGGCCAGTCACTAGTGAGCACAGATTAATTTTCAAGTATTGGTTTTGTCTCTATTTATGCAGCTGCAGCAGCTACTGGGAGCATATACGTAATATATTACCAAAGGCGAGTTTCGATTTCGAGAAGAAAGTATCTAACAACACCATTTCGTACGGCTTACCAACTATTACAGGCTTCGTCATGTAAAGGTTTTGCATATGAATGCATAACCACCAGTTACCCGGGACTACTTTTTCAGAGCGGTTATCCCCCCACATATGCATGTTTCTGGTCCTCCCTATCAACCTATTTTCCACACGGAAGTCAAAAGCCACACCTAGATGACATTTCCAATGAGGATTATTACTAGCATCCGTTTGTAAAGCTTAGCTATCTGATCGTACAGATCAAGGTCATTTGAATTGAATGCCTATTGTTCACTCTTGCCTGAAATACTAACCAGTTTGAATCTATAATCCTTGTCATAGAGTAGTCAGAAAATGTTTAAAATTTTGAAGTGACCTTACCTATTTTCTATTTTCGCTCTCATATGGTCAGGACACCTCAGAAGACATAGCAATAGAGTTCGGAACTCAAGAGGGAAGTATGTCTTTGTGCAGTACAGGTTGTCACACTGGGTTGTAAACCCAAGGAACCAACTTCCAGAAGCACTATCAACGCCCTTAAACGACTCCTTCAAAAAGGGCTTGGACATGCGAAGAAACTTTATATAAACAGGTTAGCACAGGCTTTAGGCCTTCTTTGAGAAATCAACGGATCTGATCGTCATTGAGATCTATAATAACGTTGTCCGCGGATTTTAAAGTAAGAGTTACCTTACTATTGATATTACGAACTCACGTGTGACGGTTTATTGGGAGCAAATTTGCTTTTATTTTCTGTTTCCCTTTACAGAGTTCTTGAACTTTTTATGTTGTACTCTTAGATTCTGATGAAGAAATTGATTACTCCATGAAACTTCTGGTTATTTTACACATCATATGAAATGTAGTGTGTATGGTTCTAAAAATATCCCGCTAAATTAGTTTCCCGTTCAGTAACAGTTAAGATTGAACCAACAATGAATTGCTGTTTAGGCTTAAACTCACTTAGTGCATAAATTACTCGGAGTGAAATTCTGGTTGATATGGTCGGAAACCTTTGTAAATAGCGCATAAACGAGCCATCTCTGGAATCCCCTAGACGCATAAAATCTTGATATTCCTTTATGTTTCCCGTATGCTTGTGATCATTATTGTCTTATCGTTTCCTTTTTTACCTCTTTGTTTTCTACCTTTGTGTGCTATATGGAGTGTGCTGACTTGAATTTCCTCACTTCTGTGCAAAGTCACTCAGCCCAAATATGTTAGTCGCTCCGAGAGAGCTGTAATTATTTTAATCGTATCTAGAATATAAAACCTCGCCACTGAAGTCATCGCCTGACCTCTTATCTCCGAAAGCTCCATTGTTCGCAATACATGGACGGAAGCGGACGCGTTACTCAAAAACTATTTACACTTTTTTTGCATTCGAAAGCGAGTCAAACCAACTATGTGACGGCCATTGATACAGTCTGGTTATCCAGACTGGCAAGCGATAGCTGCATCGATATAATAGATTATTAGGAGTTAACATCACATGCCATTAGTCAGAGATGCAGTATAGTTGATGTAGGACTATGCAAAACACTAGTTGGTAAAAGTTCTAAGAACAACAAACAGATTGGCCATCTTTAATATGATTATGTAGATTTTCTCCAAAAAAGAATAAGGTGATACATGTAAGTCGAAGTTAACGCTTGTTGCTTAAATCGGGGATGAAGTGTTCGGGCGAACAAAATAGGGATGACGGCTTTAAAAAGGAAAATAAGATATCGAAGTGACGGTCAGTTCTCACTATCTTTTAAATACGGAATCGAAGTTGACGATTATCTCTTCAAATAAATGATTGGTATTGAGCTGTCAGTAACTTCAGCAGACGTCAATCAACTAAAATCTTTCTGACCTAGCAATTTGTTTAGCAGCTTAAAATTACTTATATTTTACTCTGTATCAAACATACAATATGCATGCTTACGGCTCTTTCAGCCTTCGAGGAGTGTTTAGATGTGAGGACTGAACTCTTCTATGTGTTCCAAGGTGAATGCTTCATCTGTCTTCAAATAAGTAAGTAGTTGAGGGTAACATCAGATGGGAATCCGGTCACTTTTTATTGTGACAGCAAACAGATCTGATACCAACGGATGGGTCTGACAGCCGTATTGTTTTCCTCAGCGTAATATCCAGCCTCTACTTGGTTTTATAGACAGCTTTGCTTGTTTTGGTCTCTGTCACAGTGTGACATTATATTTCATACTAAATTTCTGGTATTTGTCGATGGACTTCATATGACCATCGTCACACACATTGCTCATTGGTGGAAGTCATTATACATACGCCCGAGGTGTTCTGACCATTAATACGTATGAAACTTTGGGACTGTGGTAGTGTGTAATTCCCCACCAATTTGTTGATATATATTTACATATGGTGTATGTATATTCCAATCATTTTTCTAAAGTGCGAAATCCAAGATTCAAAGTAAATTCACCTAACATATCCTTTTAACCATTGTCATTTGTATCGTTTCGAGTATCACAGTCTGAATAGTGAATTGAACACGCTTGTACTACACTGAAAATTCTATTTTAGGACTTACAGTTTGAAAACGCTTCATCACGCCAGGTCATTGCAGTTGACGAATTTATCAGCACTATGTATGACTACATGTTTCATTTTTATTTACTGCAAGATAGTCATGGGAAGCCAATCAGGCTTATCTAATAGTCTACCCACCCCAAATTGACAGCTGTGGTGTATATTCTTAAGACATTGATAAGAGCTGTTTATGTTCATCCTTTGAGAAAGAAAAAGTGTTCTTAATCAAGCCTAATACAACTATTAAATAAGGCTGCAAGGGGTAGTGTATTTCTCATGGATGACCTTATCACTGAGTGTAAATTGACGCCTTGAACTTCTAGTCGTTGTGTTAAGTTCCCCCCTATTCGCTTTCCGCCTCATTATCCATGCAGATTCTTGCACTGTAGTTGGTTGAGTCTTCGAATACTTCTGCCAAATGTATATTCAAACTGTATATTTCCTAAGCTTCTCTATTATTTTTGTCTCATTGACATGTACTGCCTTTTTTGTACGAATGAAGTCAGCCTCTTGATAATTTTTGTCTATCTAAACATGTTACAACGTAAATTCGCCGCTGCGTCATAGTTAGGGAAGATGCTTATCCAGGTTTATGGTGGCACTTTAAGAACACATTCAAACCTGTCTCATTTTCGAACAAGTGAATAAAAGTTGATAGAATTCGATATGTAACGAGGATTTTGATGGTTTTATATATACCAAACAATATCCATTTGGCACTGAGTAGTTCTTATGTAATAAAACAAGTTTTAGCTAGATGCGTTCAATTGATGTCAATCTACTTTCTAAAATTTGTGTATAAAATCAAATTGTGTTAATGTATTTTGATATATAATCATTTCGATTGTTTTCAGGCATGTTAAAAGTTAATCTTTTAATGGGAGGAAACTATATGTAGTTCTCATTTGACTTAAGAAGTGTTATGATGCTTTCATAAATTTTACTTAATATTCCAAAAGTTTTAACTGTTTGTGATTGAGGAACATCACTATGTTACAATTTCCGTGTTTTAAGTTATTAACTTGTTCTGCGTTTTACTGATCTTCATGTCGACGAAAGGAGTTGGTCATTTCATCATATCTAATAATGATAATGATAAATAGGTTTTGATGAGTTTTATGATGATTAGAGAGCACTGCCTCACATGGTAAATATCAACCCCAGCTCATATGTGGGCATAAATCATATGACTGTCATGTACTGTTGTAGATGACAGTCAGTTTATTTTTGGATGGCACACTGGATGAAAAGTCACCAAAAGTTGTGTTCATGCACCCTAATGGACACCAAAATCACATCTAAAAGACTTTCGGAGGTTCCAGTTGGTGGTTTCAGGGTTAGGTGAGGTCCAGAACATCGATTTATAAATAAATGTAACTATAAACAACTAGATCATGTGCAACCATCCAGTTGTAATGTTTCTTTTCCTCTGTTTACGAGTTTTAATTTATTTACCTTGCCATCAACTTGAAAACGAGATTGTTACTATGGTGTGTTTTTAATATCCAAATATTGAATAATGATCATTTAGGCCTCCCGAACAAAGTCTGTAGCCGACTTCACTGGACGCTTAGTAAATGGAGGTTTACGATATCGACCTCTAGATGATCTGAAGGCTATATTCAAAACAAGAGTACAAGAAGGCTCTCGTAAACTAGATAAAAACCCTGCTGACTGTTCAAAAACATGGGCTTCAAATTTAAAGAAACACCCCTGTTACCTACAGCTGCCTCCTATGTCTTTACCAGCTCAACTCGATGCAGTGGCTATTGACTACCTTCGAGAGCATTCCGTTTCTCCTCCAAAGGCAATTGAAGATCGTTCCAAAATTCTTGCTGATTATCTTTGGTCACGGCCTCTTTTGTCAGAGGTAAGTAGATAGTATTGGTTACTTTCTTCGTTTTGTCACACTTAGGTGTATTCTTCTTGAATGTTATTAGAAATAAGTTTTTATGAAATTGCATTGTATTCTTAAATTTCTAATTTAGGAAACGATTGTACAGAAATCACTCAACATGAAAAAGTCGAAAGACGTGGATGAGGAAGATGAGGATGATGGTCTGACTTTCGCTCTAGAGAACTTTGCTGATCAGCGTGAGGCTCGAATTTCCAGGGAGCTAAGTTTGAAATCCTGGAAATCTCTAAGGTACATTCCAGTCTCTGTGTGAGATGAGTTGTGTATCTGTTTTTAGTATTCTAATATTATTTCGTATTGTTTATAGGAAGCACCTATCATCTATATTAATCAGTATAACTTGACTGTTTGGAAGTGTACCTGCCAAACATTTTCATGAATACTTATATAGCATTTCATATTATCAGCCAAACAAGCTGGCACAGGGATCAATGAACAGTTATGCTGATAAAGTTTTAAGTTAGTTTATTTAGCTATAGTCTACATGAACTGAATGTTTGGTTGACTTCAAGGGGTAAGAAAAGTGCTTCAAAGATTTTTTTGGGACTATCAATGAACACTGGTTGCAGGATTACATCATGAGCTGACATCGGTTAGAGAACCACTGGAATACCTGGGAGTACTGGGCAGCTGTTTCGTCCTAGTAGGGGACCCTTCATCAGTACGCACCCACCGGGGTTCGAACTCAGGACCTTCTAGTTACAAAGCGAGCTCGTAGACCATTGAGCCACTGGGACCCGATCCAGTAGCTCAAGAATTCCAACCTCTATCAATTCACAACATAGCGCGACCGCAAGCATTTATCCTCACACCCGACCTGCTGCATCCTACTGGTCACGATATCCCACTAGAATCCCAGGTAACCACCTACCTGAATAAGACCAGTCGCTGGTAGGCATCTCAGTGATTTTCAAGTCCCAAACTGGGGTGAAACAGCTGTCCAGTACTCCCAGTTTTTCCAATGGTTCTCTAGCCGATGTCGTGTCATGATGAAATCCTGTAACCGATCAATCAAATCCCTACAAACCAATACTTGAAAATCAATGAACACTTTGTTGTTACCTTTAAAAAACCCTGTTTGTCAATCTTATTCGGTTCATCGTTTGTATCGTGTAAAACAAATAATCTGCACTTAGAAGAAAACAGAAAATAAATTCATTAGGAAGACATTTATTCGATAAACCTTACCGGATAGCAAAATTCATTGTCACAAATCCCCATTATCATTACCAAACTTACAGGTTTTCGATTATGAGTGGATTTAGCAACAGTAGGAAATACCAATTTATCTATGTAAAGTAACCTGTTATCTATTGGATAAGGTGAAATCATTTGCTGGAGGCTAACAGCCTGATTATTCTGTTATGATTTAGCATTGTAAAAAGGAAATAAATCTTTCTCATTTTGTTGTTGTTAGAGAGTTTACAGCCTTCTGGCAACTTCTACATTTGTGAAGATCTTGATTGTACTTAAGGTCTATTATATTGGTATTTCTGTTTGACATTCACAATACAACTGATGGGAATGGTTGGAGAATTCAAGTAGTATGGGTTGAAATTAATCACAGTTTTACAAATGCAATCATACATTGCTTTCATTCTAATTGTATTATCCTACATCTAACCCGCCTTATTTTGTTTTAGTCTAACGGTTGTCTATTGTCCGATTGCATCTGTTGATTTTTGTTTCATGATACGAGAAGATGCAAAGCATTTTCCAGTAATTCTGTGTTCTAGTTTGTTAGTATATGTCGGTAACTGTTTCAATAGACACCCTTTTGTGCGTATCGATGTATTTCCCAAAATATTTTCGCATTCAGCACACCTTATACCATGTGTATTGTAATTTGGTTTGCATAGTATGTTATCTTAGAGTGTGGGTTGTTCTCTTGTAGCTCTTAGATTCCTCAGTGTACATTACACAGCTTATCTACTATTTAATTTCTCTAGTGTTTTATCTAATTATTGTAGGGTATGGAATTAAACTAATCACCCAATAACTTAATTCTCTCGTCCTTTATTTGCTGCATTTCTCAAGCTATTCTGGACATACTTGTGAACTTTATTTGGTCTCGCGTTTGGCTCCCAACTTTGCGTCAGCTTGTCGAGTCCTGTATGAGATTCGTAAACGATGTCCTAATTTTATTCCAAGGTCACTGTTTGACTTTGGCTCTGGTCTAGGCACAGTTACTTGGTGAGATATTCTGATAAAATTCGTTTAAATATCTGTTCCATGCAACATTTAAACTTTATGTTCACTTTATTTAGTGTTTTCGTAATCATGTATATTCTTACTACTTATAATTAGTTAAGAACTAGATTTATTTTATGGTTAAAAAGAAAAGCCTTATTCAGAACTGTTCTTAAGAATAAATAAAACACATTACTTAGTGTCTATCTTTTTAAAATTCAAACTAGAGACGTGTTTGATAGGCTCAAGAACTTTACTACGCTAAGCAAAATATCTTATTTACGTTGCTTTCATCTGTACAATATGTACAATATAGTCTGAAGATGAAATGAGAATTGTAGCTGAAGGCATTTGCGATAGTGCTCATCCAGTGAGTTCACATAATAATGAGGAGTTTGCCACTTGTATTCACTGGAGCATTGGAATTCATTTGGTTCTCTAGTCATTTGAGGAGATTTTCCTTCAATCTCAATTTTTTAATTTGATTACTCTTCATCTACATATCTCCAAACGTAATGAGTTGTCAAATAATTATCTACTTAGCTTTTAATTCACCGTAGTAGCATGTTTTCTTAACGCTTAGTAATCTTGTTTGTATAATGTGCTTCCTCAATTACCTAACTGGGTATTGCTTTTAAAATCATATTCTTTAGTTTCCCTTCGGTGCTAACATTTTGGTATCATTTTGCGAACTGAAATACAGAATACAAAAATATATAATCAGTTTACACCCATGTATGTGCGTCGGTGGCACAATGGTAGAGTGCTGTGCGACCACGTATATGGTTCGGAGTTCGATCCGCTGCCGACGCACTCTTTTTGTACGTCTGTAGCACAGCGTTTAGGACTATCGCCCAACATGCACATAGTCCCAGGTTCGATCCTCTGCCGAAGCACACCTGATATCTATGGTCGGCCTGCAAAATTTGGGCTACCGATATCCATGCTGAAAATTCCATACTTGTACCAAAAATACAGTGTGAAATCAAGCTGTAATCAAAAATAAAATAAATAAGGTTCGACGAATTTGTTTTGCTACCTATAGTTTAACCATGATTTTGATTTTCTCTTACAATATGTTAGACTGATGCTGTGGAGAATTCAGCACGATCGTGCCTAGATAGGTTTACCGAAGGCTACTGTTCTTACCCATCCGTGGTTATTAGTTCACTTAGGGAAGTGCTATTTGACGTTACGTTAAAATTCGTGCATTCTGTAGAGCATTTAAATTATTTCAATCAATTATGGCTTCAGTGAAGGCAGTTCCTCTATTCAACAATGTCCCATTATGGAGAACCGTATGCTAACGATGTGGATTAATCGACTCAAAAAATCTGAGTGTAGGTATACCCACTAAATATAGCTTAGATCTGACACTGAAATGCACCGTAAAGGTGCAGGTTTTATGCAACACTCCAATATACCGACAGAAAGATGGAGTAGCATTGGCTTTCCCAATTGGTCCAGTACTCGCTGATTGCTTCATGAAATACTTTGAGTTCAGTATCCTCCAATCACAAAAATCAATCGGTCCAAAGTATACAAGCGGTACATGAGTGATATCTTTATGATCATCGATGAAAATACTGAGCTAACAAAATCCTGGGGGTCTTTAACAATGCTCATCTATTAGTCGGACTTAAAAGTGAAGCGGAATCCGAAGACATTCTTCTTCCTAGATGTCCGCTTTTCAAGAAGAACCAGTGGAATTCTACAAAGGCCAATCTGTCGTAGACCAAAATGAAATGGATAGCTAGATAAACTCTCACAGTTTTGTCCCAATAAGCGAAAAGAGAAATCTCATCACTTTTGTTGCGACGAAAACCTACCGCATATGCACCAAAAATATATTGAGTAAGGAATTGGAATCCTTCAAAAACACTGATCAGCAATGAATATCCAGCCTCCTGCATTGACAAACATCTAAAGAGAAAGATCAATATTCCACGAAACCTAGATATGTGGAAGAAACAACTAACTACAAGTCTGAAATTCCAGGGAGATAAAATTAGTCTGTCTGTTTTCACCATAGGACTTTGCACCGATTTGCAGCAGTTCAAGTCGCCACACTACATGTAGCACACAAAGCAAGATAAGAAAGTATAAGAAATACAAAATAGACAGTAAACAGGGATATAAGACAAAAGAAATAGTAATAACGAAGAACAATATAGTTCTGTTGGGTATTGTAAGTCACAAGGAGTGGATGCATCTGCGTCATTGAGAACGATTTCGAGCCATATCACCGACTGTCTCCAGCCATTAGTTTTTACGTCCCGAGGACCCCAACCAGGAAGTCTACACCTTCCTACGTGGCTTAAACTAACTGCTGTTGATTTCATTGACTGATAAAGTCATTTTTGGTTTGACCGCCGCTAGTACTTTTCCAGCCCGACCCTATGTCAGCTAAAATTAACCCTCGAGGAAGGCGATGGCTAGGCATGTGTTCTAACTATATAAATCGATGTAACTTCACAGCCGTGTCTACTGATTTCCCCTCCTTACCTAGCACTCTATCAATGCCTAACCTCAATATTGCTCATCCTATTATACCACTTCACATGGGATATAGAGGGCAGGCACCTATGATCAAAGACAGTTAGTCAGGCTTTTCATATCTTCCACTCTCGATGGCCATGTCTCCCAGCTATAAAGGAGGGCAAAGCGAACTGCTCAGCAGTACACACCCCTAGGACAATAGCCAGCCGGATATCACGTCTAGGCTAGAGACGGCGTAAACTGGCATATTTCAAACGAGGCTTCTGTATCCGTGTTGAGATTTCGTCGGCTATCAACCCGTTGGCGCTGGCTGATGCAACTTCCCAAATAAGTGAAAGGGTCAACACGCTCTACCACTTCACTCCCTATTTCTAAACTAGGAGTCAATGTAGTCTAGTCCTGTAACATCATCTAACATTTGTCGGGGGCGAATCGCATACCAAACATCCGTGGATTGCAGCTCAACGTTTTCAGAAGACTGCACTTTGTCAGCGTCTTCACCTAGAGACTATATCATCTGCATATTCTACGTCAACGAGATTATCCCCTGGTAACAAGTCAATCCCTGAGTCGCTGAAGTGAGTTAGGGTTAAGTCCATCAGTACATCTATGATGAAACTGAGTAGAAACGGGGATAGTGGGCATCCTTGATGGACACCACTAGTTTTCACCACTTCACTTCTCCGTTACATATTTGGAAATAGATTGTTTCCACCAACAGAACCCGTTACGGCAATTTCCATTTAATCATAATGCTAAAATTTGTATGGAAATATTGATTTATCTTTCATATATTTGTAAATCTAATATCCTAACGAATTTATTCTGATTTCATCCTACCTTCACGCTTCACATAAATTGTACTGATAAATAAATGCGTGATTAGAAAATCCGAAATTTAATCAGCGAGTACTTGTGCCTTAGTCATTTCAGCTAAACCTTCTTATTACGTAGTACAAATTTATCTAAGCAGTCAACTATTTGCAGTTCTATGTGGTTACTGCGATTTGCTTTTTATATGTTTTATTACTAATTAGCTTATTCAGTTCATTTTTTCGTGTTTGTTGTACTTTAAACATTTAGGGCTACAAATACTGTCTGGCCGGTAGGCTGCGTACGTGAACACTATTTGGTAGAACCATCCTTACACATGACCCGACTCTCTGAGTTCATGTTCCGTAAGCAGGGAACTGTCCAACCTTCCGAAAATATCTTCCCTGGAGTTTATCATCGCCGCTTCATGCCTGGTAGAAAAGTAATTAATTTTATGTTCTGTTGAAGTTATTTGACATTGAGAGATGCATGTGTAGGAATTAAATTAATAAACTCAATTGTTCTCATAAGTAGGTGAGCGTAATTTAGTTAAAATCCTAATCTTTTCTGACTGATTCAAGATTTTGTAGTAGCTATCACTCCACCTGTTAGTGTGAAAAAGAAACTGAGATGTAACGACTGTCCAGTACTCCCTGGCTTTCAGTATATCTGTAACTACTGCGAATCTGTGACCTAATTAAAAATTGTAAAAATGAAAACTCGAAAAAACCATGTAACTAGTGCACTAGTGCTGGAAATGTTTAACGTTACTGGTTATCTGTTGGGACGTTAGACGCGCGAATAACGAAAGTGCAGTTATATATATATATATATATATGAACCAAGTGTGGTTAACATTTCATGTTGCGTTATATAATTCTGTATTTTTTTCTATATGTGCGGTCGTTCGCCTGTAATTTCACACTTGTATAGTAGAGTCTTCGTCAGTTACCATTTGGGTTAACAGTAGGAATTTGCTTAATCTCAAGTTGATTTGCTTCTAGCATGTGTGTAAATTAAAAGAATTTAAGAAGACGCAGTCTACAGTCTCTGAGTTTATGTTCCTGGACGCCGAGTCAAAGGGATTGCCCATTTCGACCAATATAATGCTCATCACAAAGCATGCATTTTTCAGATTATGTTTGTGTTGTCTTCTTTTACTGTTGGGTGTTTGGTCGGCGTAGTGTTGACCGAAGTCAATTTGTTGGTTTGTTCGCGGCATCTGTGCGGAAAGCTTTCAGTATTCGAGCCCTTATTTCAGAGTAATTATTTGTATAAGATGGGATGGTTTCTTGCTGGTAATTTTATTCGTTTTTAAACTAGTTGTTAGAAGACTTTTTCTTCTGTATCAATGCTTGTAGACAGCAATTGACACCTATCTGACTGGGGAAAGGCAGAAATTTCAGACAATCGAAACACTGAAAATGTCAGGAAATTCCTAGAAGCCTGGTACTCAAACAAATCAGAGATTAAGAGACATATTATTGTAGGTCAGATTTACCAACTAATAAAGAATAAGCCATATGACGAAAGAAGTCGAATTCCAAGTCAATAACAACAATCGTTACAAATGCAAATTATTACGAAAATTCCTGTCTAGACATTTGGACGAAGAGAAGACTGACCGAAAAGCATTCTTTTCAGTGACTTCTTTCTGTAGCTTTGCCGTTATAAACACATATTATTTAAAGAGTATTGCAAATTAATAGCCAATCACAACAAAATTTGTCAAGAGATACAACTATGTCACTTGTGGATAATCCAAACAAGTTCACTTTGTATTTTTTTACTCTGAAGATGCCCGCAACCACAGTAACCGGCTCACAGACCACAACCGCACCAAGATCGTCAACTTTGGCTGCAAATGTTCCCTCTTATTTCTTAAACCAAGATTATACCATAATCTCCGAAGTTTCTTAAGAATAGCGGAACTCATAGATACAATGATATAAGCTAGTTGGTAATAAAGTCTGCGTGAATCTGGAAGGCATATTGAGACCATCTTGGAAATGATTTTCAGTTTCATTTCAACAGCCACTGGGTTACAGTGTAGGAAGAACAGTCATGAATTCAATGATGCATACAGAAAAATCATTTTACAATAAGCTATTGTTAAGGAAAATGGGTAGAAAGTCCTTATGCTTTTTGGAATCTGGTCGTAGTTTAGATTGAACCTTAATGTAGTGGTGCTTGAATGATAACGGCAAATAAGCAGACATAAATCATCATCCACTCTTGCTCTGCTGAAGGTTGGTGTGACATACGGTCTGTTGTAGAAATAGATGCCAGCACTGTAAAGTAAATACACTGACTATACTTCAATTTTCATTGAACTATGTTGCATTTACCGAACTATCCACATTTTTCATTCTTCACAACTTGAAAGAGTGGATACTCATACAGGTTTCCGTTGATATTAATCACACTTTGTGAGAGTTTTACAGTTTCAGGGTTATGTGTTTGGCAAAGCTCGCTGCATAGTGGTTTCAGCAATTTCGGCTTACTGTTTCGCGAATATATATTAGTTTATATAGACATAGCCGAGCCTGATAACGAGATAGCAGATAAATCAGAGATATGAGATTTGTTTAATGACTGTAAGATAATAGTGGGATTACCCGAGAAATAAAACTAATTGACTGATAAGAGCAGAAGGGAGAAAAGACGTTTTGTATGCATAATCACCATTGTACCTGATGTCATGATTGTCGCCGACCATGCACATGGTCCGGGGTTCGATCCCCGACCACAGACGCACTCCTTTGCCTCGATAAGCCAGAAATAATCCTGGTAAAGAGGAAAGGTCGGGCATGAGGCTGGCAACCCCATCCTGTAAAATAAACACTGCTACAGAAACTTCAAGCCCCTAGCTTGAAGCCCCATGTTCCACTGGGGAACGTGAAGGAAAAAATGATTGTCTTAGTCTACCTTTGAGCAGCAGAGACACAACCTCTGGAAACGAAATTGTGCTGGTTATGCTAAAAGTTTGTTCTGGCTAGAAATAGCTTGTCACCTACGTAGAGTTGTAGAAGACGATCGTCGTTATCTGATGTGTGACTGCCTACTCCTTATTAGCCACTTAATCGACAGTCATCTCAACATAAACGTCAAACTCCTACATTCCATTCCCACCTAGCACTACAATATTTATCGTGGATAATTGGTTAGTGGTAGGTCTCATTTCACTTGCATCAAGACTGCAATCTATCGATGCGTATTCAGACTTAACGATATGACATCGCTTCTCTTTCCAGTCACCTTCACTTAAATAAACTTGGCGGCCCGTTAGTACCCAGGTGACTATAAATGGGAAAGTGATCTAATCAAGTGATGAAGTCTCGACCCTAACACTTGATGTGACATCGATGCCACTGGCTGCCGGGTAATCGCACATTGTACGTACTTTACGAACTGATGTATCAAGTTGTTGAAAGCACTGCACTAAGATTGTGTATGCAATTCTCTTGTATGTAATCACAAACAAATATAGCACGTGAAGTTTAAGAAATGTAAATCATTTCAGCATAATTTATATTCTGTAAGTATGCAGACGTCCAGATGAATCGCACATACACTATGTTGAAACAATCTTTGAGGGTTTCTGAGGTTGAGCTAGATTGGCTTTATAACATGATAGGTAGCATAAGGAAAGTCCAGTCTTCGGATATTCGTAATGCATAACACAACCACAACCTATATCACACATGCGTATTTTTGGTGTTTCACTAGTATTATTAGTATACTTGTTAAGGTTCTCGTGCAAATATTCGTGTGTTGGAGATAAACAAATAAGAGTTTGCTCGGATAGAAGAGAGGATGGAATGTAACGTAGGTAGCTTGGATTACATGGATGCAAATGTGATCCAACGTCTGTTGACGAAATCCATGTTGTAACCTATTTCTCTGATTTCTTGCCTATTGCCTGCTCATGAGACAATGTGAACTTCTTTGATTGTATTCTGATTGTAATTTCTAAACTTTGCGCGGTATCTTTATAATTGGAGTTCTTCTCTGTCGGTTGTCATTTTATGCCATATGAAATGTTTAAGTGAATCGATTGTTCTATGTTAACATACCTTTGGCATTTCGGGATTTTTTCTTGTCGATCAGAGTTGTTAGGTGATGTTTGTTTTCTTTTTGTAGGAAACTGAAGTTAAGCGGACGAAAGTGTTGTTCCATTCTCTGAAAACTCAAATTATCTAAGTATTGTTGCTAAATGTATGTGCCTTAATAGATGTTTTGAAGATGGTGGTGTTTTAATGACTTACCTCATATGAAATTATTATGTCAGTTATTGTTGGGACGTTGAGTATTTTAGTGAACCTTAGTGTACATTGATTGTATACCCTTTTCACTTAAGTCTTTTGGTATATATGATATTTCGTGTTAGCACTTTATGATGGGAAAATAAAACAAGATTGTGGTAGTCTCAGATATTTCCCCGCCTGTTTTGTTGAAATCTTTTCCTGTTTGTCAACACTTCTGCTCTGTAACCGAGCGACAGCGTTTTTTCCCAACATCCTTCATTTCTCAACAGTCTCTGAATTGTTTAATTCATATAAATATGCTGCCAAAGTTCTGATTATGGTCTACGGAAATCAAATTTTTTATACTTTAATAACTTTATAACTTAAACCTGATAATAATAATTTGCTTTATTCCAAAACAGTACTTGTGATACAGAATGGAATTCTCAGCATCTTACTGCAGTATTTCATCCAGTCAGTACATTATCAATAAATAAAATTCTACATAGATTATGGGTAATCTCAGTTCATTATGACAACAACATATTGGCATGTCGGTAGCAAAGCCAAAGTTGAACAGAGTGTTTGAAGGTGTTAGAAAAGTAGATGCTAGCATATTTACTGGCGCAAGCGGTAACAAAAAGGTCGAGATACACAGAGTGTGAGAGAACGAAGAATGTTTTTAATAGAGTTTGTAAGGAGGGAAGAAACAAAGCAGCACATAACAGAAAAGGGTGGTGTGAGTTAGATAAAATGTTTTTAGCCCATTTTTCACATGTGTCCAAATGCCTGTCAACCAGAACACACTACTGATGGAAAAAATGAGCCACACGAAGTAAATAGCCATTATAAGGAAAGGTGAATAACAGACTTTCAACAGACGAGGGTAATTATCAAGTAAATTCAAAGAAGTGTTGGTTCCTTCATATTAATTTGATGGATGGTCAAAAGAAACTGATGGATTTTCCTGACCATGCCACATAACACCTAGAGCTACTGAGTTGTATGATCTCTTAACATCTACCCAGAGATTAGTGATGCATAGATATGTGCCAACTCAGCACAAACATCCTTCATGTCTGAGCGCAAAACCACAGACTGACTGGTAATCTCCACTCTGCTCAGTGACGCCCTGTTAAAATTCAGAAATATCAACACGGTGATATCATAGGTTACAAGCATTTCTACAAAGGCAGCGATGTCCGGACACACAAATGCCTCACATCCTCTTCTGAAAAAAGCTTAGTCCCACTTGCAAAGTTGTTCGCGCAAAGAGCGATGTTCACACAGTTCATGATGACTAAAATAGGCTTACATGTTATTCATTCTTTTCGATTTCTGCACTTATAGTTTACTATTGTTCTAAAATCAGGGTTTTCCAAGTCTTCTAGCGTGACTCTAAAATGAAAATTAGCACCAAACGACCGAATCTGACCTCCTACTTATTTTAGGAATGTGCCATGTGAAGTTGGTGAATAGGACTACCTGACAGAGGATATGTAGTCATATAAGAATATTTTCAGAGGAACAAGGGTTCGAATAAGATATCGTAAAGTCTGAAGGTGCTTTTGGAACCGTAGAGAGTTGTAGTGTGGGTCAGCAAGAACTTTTATGGTAAATGAGTTTTATTTGTATGACTCAACTGAATCCACATCTATGTCTCGTTTCATATATTCTGTCATTGTGATTATTTTATTTGAGTTTCCTTATCTCACTAATTTTCTGTCTGTTGACAGATTGAGATTTGTCCTACATCACTATCTGCTGTGAAATAAATTCTCTGCAATTGTTTATTTTTCATTAAAACAGAATCAGTATAATTTAGTGGTCAGCGCTAATACATTGATTGAACTACCGTGTGCATCTGCTCGTCACCGTGCTGTTTCGTCTCTGTGGGAGAAAACAACAGATTTTCTGGTCTTAATTGAACAAGGCACAAAGTCTGGTTTTAAAGCAATAAATGAAGCAAGAGAATACTTGGTCAGTTAATTTCTTCAGTTGAATTAGTTCATTTCACTGGGAACTTTCATGCATTTAAACAGTAGCGAGTGTTTTAATGTTATATGTTTTAGGAGCGTATACGGGAGACTTCTGTTATACTGTTTCTTTTATTCTACTAGTGAAATAAGTACTGAATACATCAGCAGGCGTGGTGGTGAAAGCTTGGAGATAATCGAACAGTTTCACTTCACTCTGCACATGATTAATTTACCCAATTTTATACTTACATTTTCTTGTTTCAACTTCAAAGTATATTCTAAATTAATTTGTTTCTTAGGTATACCACAGCAAAACAGTATAATTTACTAGATGACAAAGTTTCGAATACAATTTATTATTCATAATCATGTATATCAATCATAATCACACAACTCTGAAACTTGAGTTTTATAGCTTCCTCTGTCCTCTCCTATTTGTCGTAGGGGTAGTAGAATTCTCCAGATATCTGGGACAGGTGTTGAATCATTCCTATTACATGTATTTGCAGTTGATTCGATAAACAAAGTTTGTCATCAATCTCTCCCTCCACCCTGTGACATTAGATTTTAAAACTGTCATCCTATCCCATCCTATTGTATGGTTGTGTATGACTGCATGTAGTGCTATAGCTGAACTATTCTCTAGATTCCTTATCTTATTTGGGTCACCCAAAGGTTTTTATGTTCGGCTAGTCTGACTGACCCTGTTCTGCTAGTTTGACCTATGTATTTGACCTGAGAATCATTGCAGGCAGGGTATTAGATAAACTAAACTGTTTTGTTTTAAAGGCTCCACAGGATCCTTTAACCGGCAAAGCTTCTTTCTAATTGAGTTTGTGGGTTTGAATGCCACTTTTATTCCTACTTTATTAAGCGTTCTGCGTAAGGTTTCCGAGGTTCCTTCCTTGTATGGAATTACTATTGATGATTTAGATTCCTTATTGTTGGTGTTGTCTTGCGCATATTTGACATGCATGTCGTTATTATTATTATTATCACTATCACCACTACTATTATTAACTTCACTTTTACATTTTCTCACATTATTATTTCCTTTAATTCCTAGAGGAACATAGGGCTTGAGTCGCGCGTCTCCATTGCGTTCGGTTTTCTGCCATTTTTTTCACCCCGCTCCAAGTCTGCCCACATGCTTTCATCTCCTCCTCGCATGACCTCCTCCAAGTCACCCTTGCACTGACGACCAACTCGCCGCTTCCCTTTCGTTCTGGCTCCACTCGAGCGATGGCTTGTCTAGTCTGGTCTGGAATTCAACATAGAACTTGACACCGAAGTGCAGCAGTTCGAGTTGCCACGTTCCAAATAGCACACAGAGGTAGACAAGAAGATGAGTGAAGAGAATCAATAGAGTTTGACAAATATAAGAGTGAAACAGAATGGGTAATGGTAGAAAGGAATATGAAAGATTACAGAGACTGAATACATCTGCGCCATTGACAACGATTTTGAGCCATGTCACCTATTGTCTCCAGCCATTGATTCCTAGAGTCCCGAGGGCCCCAACCCGGGAGTCTGCATCTCCCTACCTGACTCAGTTTAACTGTCAAGGATTTCATGGATTGATGCCATGTTTTTGTTTGGCCACCACTGGCTCTTTTCCAACCTGAACCTATATCAGCTAGCAATGCCCGTCGGGGGAGGCGGTGGTTAGGCATGCGCAGCACGTGACCTAGCCATCTTAGTCTATGTAACTTTATAGCCTCGTCGATTGATTTTCCCTCTTTGCCCAACACTCTACGCCTAACGTCAACATTACTTATCTTGTGAAACCACCTAACGTGAGACAGAGATCGCAGACATCTATGATCGAAAGCAGTCAACCTTTTCATGTCTTCAACGCGTATTGGCCATGTTTCAGAGCCATAGAGAAGGACGGAGCGAACTGATGAGCAGTACACACGTCCCTTGGTTGATAACCGGATGTCACGCCTACGCCAGAGATGGTGTAAGTCAGCGAAAGCAGCTCGAGCTTTTCGGATCCGTGCTGAGATTTCATCGCCAATCAGTCCGTTGGTGCTAATACAACTTCCCAAGTAGGTGAAGTGGTCAACATGTTCTATCACTTCACTCCCTATCACTAAGTTAGGGATTGACGTGGTCCAGTCCTGTAGCAGCATCTTACATTTTGCAGGGGCGAATCGCATGCCAAACATACGAAGATTGCTGCTCAAGGTGTTCAGAAGACTCTGCATTTTGTCAGCATCCTCCCCTAACAGGACTATGTCATCTGCATATTCTAAGTCCATTAGATTATTCCCTGGTAACAAGTCGATTCCTAAGTCACTACGTTCAGTTAAGGATACTTCCATTAGCATATCTATGATGAAGTTAAACAGAAATGGGGAAAGTGGACATCCCTGTCGGACACCACTGGTTGTTACCAATTCAGATGACAATTCCCCATAAGCCCTTACACGACTACGTGAGTTTGAATAGAGTGCCTTGATTAGTGCAATGTACTTTCTTGGCACTCCCTTCACAGTCAGACATTGCCATAGTACCTTTCGATCCACGGAGTCGAAGGCCGCCTTCAAGTCAAGAAATATGACAATTGTTGGACGCCGAAAAGTGTGTCTATGTTCTAGAATCTGTCGAAGAGTGAAGATATGATCTATGCACCCTCTACCTGGTCTAAAGCCTGCTTGATTTTCCCTTGTCTGTTCCTCCCGAGTTCTGCTTAGTCTATGCATGATTACTGAGCCTAGGATTTTAGAGACTATGTTCGTTAGGCTGATCCCCCTATGATTATCACACGAGGACTTGTTTCCCTTCTTGAATATCGGTATAATAAGTGACTTACCCCAGTCTGATGGTACTGTCTCTGATTCCCAGACTTTGCCTAGTACCTCAGTTAATCTACAAACTAGTATGTCACCCCCATATTTAAACACCTCCGGAATAATTCCGTCGGGTCCTGCCGCTTTGCCTCGTTTCAAATTACTGATAGCTTTTGTAACCTCACCTACAGACGGCGGACCAGTGTCTATATCCCATTCGGGTACGTGGTGGATGGCGGGGAGGTTCAGTGTGGCTGTAGGCAAGTTAAATTGTTCCTCAAAGTGTTCTTTCCAGCGTTCAAGGCGTCTATCCTGAGAGCTAATTAAGGAGCCATTTTTCTCAGAAATAGTCTCACTTATGAATTGCCTTCTCCCACCCGATTCTGTGATGAGTCTAAAGAGTTGCCTAGTGTTGCCTATCGCCAATGCTTTTTCCATCTCTTTCGCCTTTGTCACCCACCACTGTTCACGGTCCTTGCGGAGACTTTTAGTAAGTTTCCTTTTGTGCAGCTTTCGCTCCTCATTGAATTCGGAGCTCGCCGGAATAAGTCTTCTAGCATCTATCAGTTCGGATGAGGCAGTCGAAATCCAGTGGTTTTTACTCACCTTTGGATTTGCCTTATTCACAGCTTTTACAGCTGTATCTATAGCTGACTGAATATTCTTCCAGGCTTCTCCAGGGTGAGCACAGCTGTCGAATTCAGATATGCGTTTAGCTAGTTCTTCCTCAAATAGGGATTTAGTTTCCTGATCGAGCTGGGGACGTGATGGTTTTACCGCCAGCTGTTTCCTACGTCCGTTCAGTCGTAAGCACACACGAGCCCGGACCAGTGCGTGATCGGTATCTACACACGTGTTCCAAAAGGAGCGACAATCTCCTACCGACCCACGCCAACGATAGCTTATTGCTATGTGGTCTATTTGTGTCCAGCGTTGGTTTGATGATGGGGGTCGCCAGGTTAAACAGTGTCTCTCCTTGTGTTTAAAGTTAGTGCTTACAAGAAACAAATGATTATCTGAACAGAACTGTAGGAGACGGTCACCGTTGTCGGTTCGCTGGCACGGAACTCCATAGGTGCCACCGACATCCTTCTCAGATTGACACAATTTCCCTACTTGAGCATTAAAGTCACCAGCTAGAACGACTATATCTGAGCGTTTAGCCTTTCGCACCAAACTAGACAGCTTTTGGTAGAACTCATCCTTCGTTTCATCCGAACTGCAGTCAGTGGGGGCGTAGGCGGAGATTACGAAAAGGCATCGGCGAGTAGTGCAGTCCTTTCTCCTTCTTACTGATCCGTTCAGACGGACAGCACACATTCGGCTATCTACCGGGACCCAGTCTAGTGATATCGCTTGATGGTTTCCTCAGAGTATGGCCAATCCATCTCCATTTCTCCCTGCCTATTTGTTTCACAATCGGTTCCTGCTGGGTTGGTTCGCTCCCAGAGATCCCTGTTGCTGATCTTTTCTGGCCGGCCATCTGATCTTGAGTATAGAGTGAAGACAGCTGTTAATGGAGGTCTGTAGTCTGTTTGAGATGCTCTTTATGACGCGGCGCCAAGTCTCTGATCCGTATAGTAGCACTGACTGACTTCACATTGGAGTTGAAAATCCGGATCTTATTTTTGATTCTGAGTGCCGTTGGCCTCCACACAGACTTAAGAGTAGTGAAAGCTTGTCTTGCTTTTCCGATTCTGGCTTTGATATCCTCGTCAGTTCCGCCTGTAGTTGAAACGATGCTTCCCAGGTGGATAAAGGAGGTTGTTTCCTTCAGGTTCCTTCCATTTATGTTGATTGTCATCTCCTGCTGTTGGCCAGGAATCTTCATCACCTCTGTTTTCTCTATGATCACCTGAAGTCCTATCTTTGATACTTCTTCTGTCAACTTGTTGCTTTCACTTGCATATCTTCCAGTTTGCGGTAAATCAGACATATATCATCAGCGAAGTACAGATCCTCCTAGTTTTTTGTGTGAGTCCATTTTATGCATGTTTCCTCATTGCCCGCTGTTTGTCGCATTATCAAATCTACTGCAATCAGGAAAATAATTGGCGATAGTAGGCAGCCTTGGCTCACTCCCGTCCTCACTTCGAAAGCTTCCGTAAGTTTCCCATTGTGGATTACTTGGCATGCAGCATTGTCGTACAACTGACTTGGAGGAGGTCATGCGAGGAGGAGATGAAAGCATGTGGGCAGACTTGGAGCGGGGTGAAAAAAATGGCAGAAAACCGAACGCAATGGAGACGCGCGACTCAAGCCCTATGTTCCTCTAGGAATTAAAGGAAATAATAATGTGAGAAAATGTAAAAGTGAAGTTAATAATAGTAGTGGTGATAGTGATAATAATAATAATAACGACATGCATGTCAAATATGCGCAAGACAACACCAACAATAAGGAATCTAAATCATCAATAGTAATTCCATACAAGGAAGGAACCTCGGAAACCTTACGCAGAACGCTTAATAAAGTAGGAATAAAAGTGGCATTCAAACCCACAAACTCAATTAGAAAGAAGCTTTGCCGGTTAAAGGATCCTGTGGAGCCTTTAAAACAAAACAGTTTAGTTTATCTAATACCCTGCCTGCAATGATTCTCAGGTCAAATACATAGGTCAAACTAGCAGAACAGGGTCAGTCAGACTAGCCGAACATAAAAACCTTTGGGTGACCCAAATAAGATAAGGAATCTAGAGAATAGTTCAGCTATAGCACTACATGCAGTCATACACAACCATACAATAGGATGGGATAGGATGACAGTTTTAAAATCTAATGTCACAGGGTGGAGGGAGAGATTGATGACAAACTTTGTTTATCGAATCAACTGCAAATACATGTAATAGGAATGATTCAACACCTGTCCCAGATATCTGGAGAATTCTACTACCCCTACGACAAATAGGAGAGGACAGAGGAAGCTATAAAACTCAAGTTTCAGAGTTGTGTGATTATGATTGATATACATGATTATGAATAATAAATTGTATTCGAAACTTTGTCATCTAGTAAATTATACTGTTTTGCTGTGGTATACCTAAGAAACAAAGTAATATGTAATTACTTATTGCCATTTTCCGCTTGTATTCAAAGTATATTATTGAAATTAAGAAATCTTTAATTCTACCGAAGTTTGAATTTTGTAAATATTCTAGCAGAACAAGTGGAAGTAAATCCGTCTAATTGTGCTTCAATTACCTAGATCAGATTTTTTTCATGTATCAGCTTACTAGCCACAGTTCTTTCGTGAGCCTTGGTGGGTAGTACCAAGTCACTCGGGCTAAAGTAATGTGGAATATAATTCCAACCCAGAACCCACTGACTTCAAGTCATGTACTCAAAACAGTAATCTACTAGTAACTGTCGAATATATGATATGGAGTATGAAAATGGTTTTAATACTTCTTAACACTTGGCGTGGATAGGTTTGAGTTTAGGTTTATTCATGATCATATCAGTTGTATGCGTTTTGTTTAACCGCGTGCGTTCCATTTTTAATTAAGACTAGAAACAAGCTTATCAAACACTCAGCATTTGTCAGCTACTAACTTTCCGTTGCATCTGAAGTCGAAAAAATCCTTTTCAATACTATTTTTTTATTAAAGAGGTTTTCAGATGACATCAATGATTAAAGCTGTTGTCAGCTGAGAATGTACATGCAGCTCCGTTAAAAGTCTAGTAATCGATAATTCGAGTTCACATTGTCTAAGATGTATTTAGTTAACTTTTCGTGGTATATATTATCATCATCAGTACGTAACATCCTAGCGAAGTGTGTATATAGTTATAGGAAAGTATTTGCAACTGTCGCGTATCCAGTTAAATAGTTTATTATTGTCATGTCTACTGATTTCATTACGGTTTATCATTGATCACTATACATTATAGCGGTGTTGTTTTCCTCCTTTGTACTAACCTGTGATCATGAATATTTTATAAACTTTTTCTAGCTTACGAATGGTGGACCTGATGTTCGTATATTTAGCCCTGTAAGTGCTCCATTTTGCTACATGACTTTCTGAATCTCTTTATATATTTGGAATTTCCTCCGTATATTAATGCATGACTTGAATGGTTATTTGTCAGTCTTTGTTACTCAAGATAATTTTGTTAACTAAATATTAAAAATCATTCATGTATTGCTAAAGAGATAACAGTTTTTCGTCATTTTTGTGTCAAGTCAGTTTTGTGGTCAAATAAATTTTGATGCTGAAAATTCACCTGGTCAAATGTGGTTTATGCTTTTGTAATATCCTTGAGTGTCGTGTGGTCTGATTATGATTGTATTCGTCATTTATTGCTTGGGGTCACCGGAAGGCTATAAACCAATGGTTGGAAACTGTTGGTGTTATATAGCTCAGAGTCGTTCTCATTGGCTCAGGTGTATTCACTATTTGTGGTCTTTCATTTACACAAAACTTTCGTATCTTTCCATCTTACTGTTCTTTATGCCGCTTCTTGTGGTTCTTATGAATCTCTATTTTTGCTTTCTTTTCTTTCCCTCTCGATGCTAGATAGATTGTGGCAACTTGGACTTCTGTACTTCTGTGCAAAGTTCTGTATTGAAACTCAGCCAGTCAGTCATTTATTATTATCAAGGAAGATTTATGCGTCTGTTTTATTGATGCTGACCTGAATTTACATATGCTTACTTAGTCTTAAATCAATATGGAATATAGCTATATTCACTTAAAGGTGTTTTCCACTAGTTATTTATAAGCTGTCAATTTAAAAGTATTCATGACGTAGTGTATTCTCCCCGCGCTACATTCAATGTCATTCTAAGCAGATCAAGATGTACTCATTCCTGATTATGTGGCATTTTAATGTGTAGCAACATTGTTTTCAAAGTTCACCGATACGGTGGCAATAATGTCCTCATTTTATTTTTAATTAGATCCTCGCCTCTGGCTCAACTCATATATATGAGAATTTTTTCCTTACTGAAATCTTTTTATTTACTCAAAAATGTGCACCGCTGGATAGACAGACAGCCATGGTGGGTAGACTCAACATTTTCGAGTAATTATATATGAGTTAAGCATAAAAAACTGCGTTTTCGTTTGAACCCACCGGAATGGGCAGTATAGAGGTGATCAGTTACAGTTTTAATTTCTCCAGTTCTTGTATGATTTTGTGTTACTCGCTTAGAGGAATACTGTACTCATCATATATCACTTTTTGTTGTTTTGAAAGTTTTCTGTCGACTTTTTTACGCAGCAGGAATATCTATTGTGGCGTTCGCTATACTATGCCCAAAGGCACCCTGCTATACCTTTCACCGTCACCCAGATTTCCTTTTCATTTCAATCGCCTAAGGTTGACTGTTTGAATGTTACGTCCTAAATGTTGCAAAATCACCCTACTGACCTACATTTTTCTCAGTATTCTTGATCTAGGCTTCTAAGTATTATTTATAATATTGTTACTTAAATATCCCTCCACGAACGAAAGTATGTTTTATCGATAGTCACGCGTGCAACTCTTTCTTTTTTGCACGATTAATAATGTTTATTTTGTAAACTATCCCAAACAAGCGCAAATTAAAAACAACCAAACTATTAATTTCTTTTGCAGTGTCCCCATGCACAAACTTGTCCGAAAAAGAATTCCGTTTGTAATCTTACAGTACAGTATTATAGCTTTGGTCTTACACGAGTAAGTGAATTTAACATATGTTGAGTAGAGAAACATTTTCGTCATTGTCTTTTTTATGTATTGGAATTGTGGCACATTGATTTAATCACTTGATTTTCAAACACAGAATTTCATATTAGCATAATCTGTAACAAACAGTATACTCGCTGCTGAGTATCTCGAATTATCGTGATAGCTCATTAATTTCCTCATTTTTATTGAGTATTTAGCAATAAAGTTATCGATGTTTTCATTGCATTTATGCAGCCGTAATTCTGTGTGCTTCTTTTGAAGCATGACCGTTCGGACTGTGGCACATTTGTGCATCAATTCGTGTATCAGTCTTTCAGTCGCATTATGGATATCCCGGTGGTAATGTAATGAGAGATTTTAAAAGTTAAATCTGTTAAGTAGGTCTCAACCACTGGGTAAAAATAAAGCCAAGTGAAGTCGTCCTTTATAGGAATGTGTTTTGAATTACGATACATCATTTATCTTCGGTCTTTTTATAGTCTAAAGTCGACACATACATTAAGGTGGAAACAGTGTCAATCCCCTGTTTCCCCGTTATTCAAAGAAATGATATTTATCTAGAAAAGTGTCAAGTGTTTTTAATGCCTATTTTTGCCCTCCGAGTAGAACATAGGGCTTTAAGATATTAAATTTTCCATAGTGTTGTTGTTTTTACAGGAGAGGATTGTTGGTGTCATGCCAAAGCCCTCATCTGTGCTCGGGTTACTACTGGCTAGTTATTTAGGCGAGGTTTACGGAGTGCGCCGACTAGAAATTGAACCTGGACCTCCCGCGTGCCTGATGAGCATACTACCACAAAACCCCGGGAAGCAATGGATGGCTGTCCCATCCTTGTTTGGGATTCTTCGGTAGCGCTCATATTACTGAGTATCGAAACCAAAATGTTTAGGTTATGTGGTGAACCAAATGCTATTTACTGCATTTAATTTTTTAGCGTTCCACCTTAGTAAAACACCACATTCTTGACTCTGTTGATCAAGCCAAAGGACGTGAATCTGGGTTTAAAATAGCATCTTACTGCGTATGTTGGATTGTACTGTCTAAGTAATCATTGTCCAGCACCTTCAAGTTTACTATAGACCTGTCATAAATTCGGGATAAATGAGTTTTCGTTGACTGAGTGTTCCATCTCTGCTCACTCCGAAAACCTCAATAGAATTATTACTAAACCCTATTCTGTGGCGATAGATCCAGGAACACATGATAGTTGCCACATTCTCCAACTGCCACTGACAGTTTAAAATCATCTCAATTGTATTTCAAACTAACGGTCTAAACGACCCCTGTGACTCATATTATTATTGGATGGTTGACTTACGCAGGTACCTTTATTTAGAAGTGTTCATAAAATGTTAACTTTTGATCCATAAATTGATTGTGCAACGCAGGTACCTCATATTTCTTTGGAATATTATAGTAGTTAGGAGATCAATCTTGTCTGACAGTTGCTGGTGTCTTCTCAACCGTATCTTCTACATTGTTTCCAAGCAAGCTGTAGTAATCACTTCACTCTGACACTACTTTCGCTATTTTATGTCTAGTGGAAGTGGCATCAGAAGACAGAATGAAAAGTAGATTGTTCATAGCAGACGGTCGATGACAAGCGGTTACACGTAGGTTGATGAAATACAATAGACTTTGGGAGATTACCTCATGAAATGTGTTTCTCCACTTTGTTTCAGATTCAGTCGCCTGTAATTATACTGTAATCTTGCTTCCTAACTGCTAGCCCTTACACCGATCCAGAATTTTCTGTTATTTTCTTTTAACTTTCAGTTTAAAAGCGAACCATGTACCGAATTAGTTTCCTACTTAATTATTTCTCGAGGAGATTGGCGAAGACACCAGATTCCAGTTGTTAAGCCTGAGCCACACGAGTTGCCTCGAATAGTTTCTTACAACTTGTCTAAACGTAGTTGTATCATGCATGATGTCTGTTTGCCTTGTGGTGCAGTCGAACGTGCCGTTTTCCCTAAACGACAGTCAGAGACGTAAGTTTTACCCAAAACATTGTTGCTATTGTGTATCTATTTATTATCTGTCATGTCTTCCATCATCTCTGAGGGAATAATGAGATTAATATATTTGTGCGACTTGGCAGTATGAAATTCTGTATTAGTTTGTATTGGCAGAAGATAAAAGAATTGATAACCGAGCTACTTATTTGCAATTCGAACACATATAAGCAAAATCCATCTACCATATAACTGAATCACAGTTTACATATACATCTTCGGTATTATGATGTCTTGTCTGCCTGCTATTTTTTCTTTGTTTTTCTCTAAAGCATCGTTTGTTAAATCTATCTATCTACCGCCATTAGATATTCTTGATGCTGGTATACATATTTATATCTGCATCTATATGTTACTAATAAATCTTATCAATAGCACACGCCCCCAAGTTCATGTATCCTACATATCAAACAATGAAGCGGTACTATTCAGTTATAAAAATAGTTTGATAAGGTAGTCTTTCTTCCAATCAGCAGGTACTTTTCTTTTCGTTCAGGTATCTAGGTCCGGTACGTCTCATAGTAAAGCAATATATAGTGAAGGCAGCTCACTTAGTTAAGCTTTTTTGCATGTTGATTGAACTTTGTCCTCGCTAATCCAGAATTCTAGCTAGATTATCAGTAGTTTATATTTTTGGTTTTAACGTTTTTATTGGTTTGTATTTTATATAAGACTCACGAGTTATCGTACTATAATGTCGAACAGGGGTCCATCTAGGGAGAGAGGACTCTCGAATGGTGGCGCCATAGGAGGATTCTGCGTTCTGGTCTCGTGTAGCAAGAGGCAGAAGTAGGTGTGTCTGGCTGTCCTGAAAACCAGTATATAAATGCCTAGTCAATGGATGTATCGTCGTAAGATTCCTATAAACAACTGCAAACAGAATTGGATGACATTCTAAGTAGTGACATCAAAATCCTTATGGACTATATGAGTGGCGAGCTATATAGGAAGACAACTCATCATGGGTCGGGAGGCTGTCAGCGAAATGAATGAAAATACAGAACTCTTCCTAGATCACTGCGCTTCCAGCGATTTGGTGATTGGAGGTGAACACAAAGTTGAGAAGGAGAGCAGATGTGCACTTAGACCATTACCTAGTGCAATGAGACTTCAGGGTCAAGGTGAGTGCCATCAAAGCAACTGATGATAAGACACAATTCAAGTCCGATACTCAGAAACTGAAAGACAAGCAGAACAATGAAACACAAGATGAACCAGTGCAAAGATGAACAGCGAAAAAAGAAACTGAGTTCAGTCCACAGCTCAGTGAATAAAGAAGTGAAGAAGGTTGGTGGGAAAGACAACATGCAATTCTACGACACACTGGTTAGCGTTAGAAGCAGAACGGGCAGGCCGAAGGTAAAAGGGACCTCAGGGAGTTATATCAGATAAACAGGTCTCTGTTCAAGAAGACATAAATACGGATAAAACCTAAGGAAGATGGTCAGGGAAAACTAATTACTAGAGAGGGGAGCGGACAACGAAAACAATGGGCTGACCACTTCAGGGAACTACTGAACTTACCATCACTTGTGACTGGTCCAGAAACACTACCAATAGCTAGAGAATTGAGAGTGGACAGCGCCCTCCAACAAAAGAAGTCTTGAATATAATCAAGCTACCGAAGTCCAGGAAGGTAGCGAGGTCAGATGGGATTCCCCCTGAAATACTGAAAACTGATCCAGAGACTGCAGCAGATTTGCTGACGGCACTATTGCAAAAGGTGTAGAAGGTGGTGAGAGTACTTACTGATTGAGAGGAAGGCGCCCTTGACAAATTGCCAAGAAGGGTGAATTAGCCCCTTGCAAGGACCGACGCGGAATCATGCTCTTGTCCACGTTAAGTAAAATACTAAATCGTGTCATCATTGGGAGACTAAGAGATGTTGTGGATACAGAAATCCACCTCACTGGAATAAACTTGATTCAAGAAATGCAAATCATGTGCTGACCGAATTGCAAATCTACGCATTATCATCATCTAACAGAGTATGGAATCGCAGTCAAATCTCCATCTCAACTTCATCGACTTTAAAAATGCCCCCGACAGTGTTGACCGCAAAGGAATTCGGAAACTATTTCAACACTACGAAGTGCAGTGTGCCAAACATTTATCAACTTCATTTAATAGCTGGTTATATGACAATACGTCCTGTCATATTATTCACAACGAAAAACGTGGCGAAACATTTGAAGTGTAGCTAGGTAGGAGTACGACAAGGCTTTCTGCCTACTATCCACCGAGGATATTCGTGATTGTAGTTAACTGGATAATGTGGTTGTTTGCGGAGAGCGACAAGGCAGGAATATGTTGGACCGATAAGAAAACTGTAGGAAATCTAGACTTCGCGTGAGAAGATAAACGCTTCTGGGCATTCATGGGGCCAGCTGAATATGACAGCGGCGAACGGGACAAAGTAGAGATGTGTTTTTGAAGTCCTAGGTTCCACTCGGAACCGGAAGGATTAGTAATAATGTCAAAAATATTTTATCCACTTATAGGTGATTTATAAAAATTTACTTGCTACCTTTTTTCCGCTCATTTACATTTTAGGAGTCTGTATTACTTTATGAGACATGCACGTGCAGGTGATATTGTGCCGGCTGAAGTAGTGAACAAAGGTGAGTATAACTTGCTTGAGGATGCAATCGGAGATGATGAAAACAAGATAGTGGAGTCTGTCAAATCATCCACATAATTAATAACTGCTGCTGACAGTCTACCGAGACTCTTCATACACATACAGGACGTCAGTTTTCATTAAAATATTAACATTTATGTAAATAATATGACAAATATGTAATTATCGAACTTCTAGTTCAACAGTTTTCGTCTTAATTTCAAATGAGATGTCGTGCGTATAAAAAGCCAGAAACTGCCTTTTCTCAATTTTTGATAATCATCGTAATAACAGTAATTAGATTAATCAGTAGGCAACTCATGATGTTTGAATGGGAACTCCACCTCAATCTGTGGATGGTGTATATAGATTGAATGATTTAAAATTCCTCCCGAACAATCAGTTTGACAGTACTGACGTTTTTCATTTACCCATGACCTTTGTAACATTACTTTGACATTTCCCCCTCTTTTATGACTTAAACATTACTGTGTAACTCCAATTGGTCGAGAGCTACTCTATATTACTGTATTCCCTTTGTTTCCTAGGAATCTCGATTGATTTATTCATCTGATTTTTGCAGGCAGAATTATTATCAGTTTATTTGGAGTATGTTTGTTGATTCTTGGGTATTTATCAGTTGTATTTGTTCAACTATTTTCTGTACCTGAAATATTTTTGACCTGTGTTTTGGTTCAGCTGGGTTATTGAAGTGCTTCTGTAATTTTGTATCACTTGTTGTTGTTTAATAATGCTACTAATTATTTCACGTCAAATAGTATTTCGATACCGTTGAAATGTAATTTTTGGACGTGTGAGATACAAGAAGACGCAGTAATTTGTCTACATTGTGTTCCACTGATTTCTCTGTCTTTTCCTGCTTTCAGGCCGAAATACTTAGTTTCCGGTGATTATGCATGCTTTTGGGTACTTTCTATCTGCTATAGATATAGGAAACACTTTGGGGAAAAGGCAAAGATTCATATCTGAGTGAAGGCTGTTTAAACACTTCAGGAAAACTGCTACTTTTTAATATAAGAAAGAAAGAATGATTATTATAGTGTACAGTGATCGTAAGTGTAGGAGGTCACTTTTTGAAATGAATGGGGTGTCAAGTTCATCAGAGTTTAGATTCCCATGATGAAGCCTACATATGCTGCTGGATATTTAAGAGCAAGTATTTGGCTTTATTTAAAATTTGACCACTGTTTTCGTACGACTTCATGTATGTGTCGTGCATATATACAAAGTCTAAGAAGTCGAATTTTCTGTAATGCTATATATATAGCCACTTGGCTTATATGTCACTAGAAATAGGAGAGTTCTGATTTTGATTTATCTTTACATGGGAATAGAGCTTAAGTTGGTAAAAGCATATAGATACGTCATATAAAGTATAAGAAGAATATTGTTAAGGTCATTGCTTTGATAGGAATAAGTCACAGCCTAAGCGTTTGATTTTGCAGGTAGATTCTTTCCACCAGGGTTTTCTGAAGCACATAGCTGTTCCAACAAAGAGAGAACGTCTTCCTAAATAACAAAGTGAACTGTCGAACGAAGAGGTGATAGTGGTCATTACTTTGAAATAAATGCAGGTTTACATTATTCGAATAAACATCCAAATGAATACATTCTAGTCGGCGATGTCTGTCAAAAAGATGATTAACTGCTTCGGTCACATATAAACATTGTGATTGGGTAATTCAACCCTGCGTAAACGCAGCGGCAATGCAGAATAGGCGTTATCTGCTGAAAAAAGCGTGAATTTGCTGTTGTTAGTTATGTCTGACGACATGTTCAGATTATGCAACCAAATTTTAAAGAGCAAAGGTTTTAACTCCTGGGACGCATTCGAGGATGCTTTCAAAGAGTTTAACAAAGTTGCACAAACTCACTCTGTTGTCAGAAGTAGTCGGATTGACAGGAATAATCCGATTTTGAGGTACTAACGGTTGGATTATGTGTGTGCATTTGGTCAGAGAAGAAAAAGCTGATCAGAAGTAGTCAGACCTGGAACACTGTATAAATTTTTAGTTAATTCTTTTGTTATCAGTTTTAAATGCATGGGTTGTACGTCAAGTTTTAGCGTGAACAGTATTAACGGATGTGTTGTTGTTGGTGATATGAGGGGTGAACATAATCATCCGTCTACAGAAGAGTTTATGATGGTTGACCATAGTAGACGTAAGTTCACGGGAATGTGGAGGGTCATAGTGGATGGTATGGTGGAATCTATGATTTCTAGTATTGAATTGAGAAATGCCGTTTTCTTGAAATTCGGGAAATATGTCACACGAAAAGAATTCGTTAACTGGAACGAGCAAATGTTTGCAGGTATACATATAGAACATAAATGCTTTATCTTACTGAAGGTATGAACAGTATGGATTCTGTTCTGCAATTATTACGGTCGACAGGAGAGATTAGGACTAAGAGTTCAAATGGTCAGATTAATGTAATATGTCTCAGTCTGCATCGGCAAATTAAGTTTTATGGGTGTTTTCCAGAGGTAATATGCATTGACTCTACGTATAAAACGAATAATGTTGGGTAATTTACTGATAATAATGTAATGTTTGCAGATTCAGTCTTTTTCAATTAGTTGTAACCGACGGATGCGAAAAACGTGCTACTGTAATTTTTGCTCTTTGTCGGCGGGAAAATGCGTCAGATATCACACAGCTTCTGAGGATGCTTCAGTCCATTATGGGATATACAGACGGTACGAAAATATTTGTTATGGATAACTGTCAAGCAGAAATTTCTTCGGGGAAGGAGGTATTTCCGCACTGCCGAATTATTCTTTGTTCATTTCACGTGCTTAGAGCCTTCGGTCGCAAGGTATTTGCGTATTAACAATTACTACTGTCATTTTTCAGTTTCGTAATCCTGAACTACGTTATGCACTGGAAAAACTAGTTTCCACTCGTATAAGACAGAAGTAAGTTATGTATAAAGCATAAAAAGTATAGGTTCTTATATTTTTATTGTTACATACGTCATATGTTCCCCCATGCATACAACTTCTTAAATGGGCATTGGGTAAATATGAGGCACATGTGGGCGCGATGCTTTTTCAGAAAAACAATTACTTTAGGTAACCACACTAACAACAGGGTGAAAGTCCTCATAAGCATTTGAAGCTGCACCTCCGACAAAATGATCCCTTAGTGTTGACTTTATGGAAAGTGCATAATACGGCCATGAAATATTGGAAAGTGCTGTCGTAAGATAGTGTATTTGCATTGCAGAAATTGCGCCAGTTCAACGTAAGTGTAAGTTTACTCTTGTACTAGTTTGTAGGTTCCTGAGCCAATTCAAAAGCGATTGGACAAATTAACTCCGTATGCAGCTGCGATTGTCAACAGGAGTTACAAACGTATTTGCAATATCAGTCGTGAATTAGTAGGAAGCGACATAATTGATTGCTTCGATGGAATACAGCATCATGTGGTTGATACTTCCTCTGGAATGTGTACCTGTCACCGTTTCCATGGCTACCGTCTCCCTTGTTCACATGTCCTGTACGCCTACTATAAGGGATTGTTCACCGGAGGTAAGATTAATCTGTGTAATATATACGTATACACTTTCAAATATATTGCAATACAGCCGCAGGTGGTCGAAAGGATACAACCTAAATGTTTCCATGAGGACAGTGCAGTGAGTTAATCTTACGCAGTGTGATGTAGATGAATATGCACAACGAGTGTGGCAGTCTCTTCATCACCTAAAGAAAACTAATGCAGATATCACGCTCAATCTCATATACAGACATTACAGTGAATATGTAGGCATTTTTAATGGTCTGCATACGTCATTTTAACTGTTGGCTTGTTAATAATGATTTTCATGTAAACCTAGACGTTAACGTATACTGCTAAATGAAATTGCAACTATATTTCCCTTACATTGATCGATGCCACCGATTACTTCCACAAGTCTCATTGAAAGATCACGCCTCCATCTCGTCATGATGACAAACTTCTTTTCACTCATGTCGAATAAAAAAGGTACGGTAAGCAAGATGCAGTACTACGAACTTTTAAAGGTGGTTAACACGTCCATACATTCCTAGGTACTTGATTTATTATTATTAAGATTCTTTTTCATGTAGCCATGACTTCCACTAAAAACAGTATGTAATAATTTTCATTAACAGTCTTATAATATTATACTCATAATTATGTTTACGTTTACTTTATTAGAATTTGTAGTTAATCATGTGCAACAGAAGTGCCAACAATGTAAATGGAGGCTTATATGTGCCTACATGACCGAACTTCATGGAAAATTTGGAGACATGGTTCCATCACATTACGCAGTAGAAGTGGACGCAGGAATGTTACCTTTTCTTATTATGTAAATAACCTGAATGTACATTGCAATAAATATGAACTTTTCCAATAAGCAATCTTGTCTTTGATTTCACATGCTCACGTCGGTAGCACGGTATGCTAGGCCGGTACTTCCTTAGGTGAGAACTTGCATGTATACGTAAGCGTAATCCTGTAAGACCAGGAATATTTGATATGTATTGCGTTTAAGCATTCGAATCTCAAATCGTAGGATAAAATATAGTATGTGCGCTGTAGTATTATTGCGTCAGAGGTTGCGTGTATTCTAAAGTAGTTCATTACTGCCGCTTCCATTCCAGCGTCCCTACAAATATCGAGAGAATTGTAAGTTATACTTACCAAGATAAACCACATTATCATTAGGATGTCCACATCATGTTAACATATACCTTTTCATACTGGTTACTTTTCTAATTCCTACGTAGACACCTTCTTGTCAGTATAAACAGTTGTACAGACTGGATGAATCTCTTGCGTGTTAATCATTTAGACGACACATCGTACTTAACGAGAATGGTAGGCAGCGTAGGTAATCCTTTCATGAAATGCATTCAAGTCTTAAGTAGTCAATATTGCCTCAGTGCGTCATTGAGCCTTACGTCAAGTCATTCAGCTATGCATAATCGAGTTGCGTACAATACAATTATTCACTGCTGTTAAGAACACAATAGTTGCTAAACACCTGTTTGTGATGCAGTAACGAAGTATAACTGAGATAAC